TATAATAAATACAAAAATAATTAATTTTAGCAAATAAAATGCGTATTAGCCATTTTTCAATACATTGGCGGCCATCTTGGCGGCCATCTTGGATTTCTCAAAACGTACCATGATTTGACATGTCTACCCAAATTTTTTGTAAACTTCAAATATTTAGCTTTACAATGATATAATATTTATCCATGGACCTTTTTTGCACACAAACGGTCCTCAGGGACTGTACTATATCGTTTTGTTTTGATTTTTTTTTTTTTTTTGTTATTATTAATTTTGCGCTCAGCAATATTCATTTATCATTAAAGCAATAAATTTGAATGTTTGCACTTGTAAAGTATATGTTAAATTATGCATACATGTGACAAAATGAATACTGCACTTTCATAGTATTAGTACATGTTAAGTTAGCCTTCATTTGTTATCGACCTGCTAGTTCATATGGAAATTTCAATATATCTTTGAGTCGATATAATAAATGTTGCACGTGTATTAGCATATATTTAGATAAGCCTACATGCTTTCAATGATTCATGTTTATGAGGAAATTTTTTAACACATAATGAGTAAGTGAAATAAATACTTCAAATATAAAGTATTAGTAAATGTTTAATTTGTTGACAGCTTTAACAAGTTAATGTTTATAGGAAATATTTTAAAACATTATTATGTAATATTTTTCTGAATTATTTTTTGAACTGTTACATTTGAGTGGATCTTAAAATGTAACTTTTAACGGAATGTTTGATATATAAACGTTATTAAAATGAAAATGAACATTACATATCAGTTTAATATTTGAATCGGAATATTGATTTTTAAGTGAATATTGAACAGTTTTTGAATATATTACAATTATACAATTTGTTTAAAACGAATTTAAGTTAGCACGTTGGTGCAAAGTTTGGAAATGTCGAAAATTGGTTAAATAGTGTATATTTTTCTGTTCTCTTAAAAAGTCTTTTTTCCATAGAACTTTTTACAATCACAATTATTTTGTGTATTTGGATTTTTTTATATTAATACAAGTACACACATTACTTATATTTCCTTGTTTAGAAATTAGTAAAACGTGTAGCAAAAAAATGCTTCATCGTCTCATATGATTTGTTAAAATATAACAAAGAACCATATGTTGTCCAGTTCCACATTTTCCTCTTTTTTATTATCATGCAGCTTATGCTTATTCGTCTCTCTTTTTATTATGTCTGTTATTTCGTTCTATCTTAACACACAATTCGAGCCCACTGAGAGTGTAATATTATTTTTTCAGATTATGGATCTTAACTTCTTCACGGTCTTAAGAAATTTATTAGATGAGCAAGGAAAACATTATGATCGTAAATGAAACGAAGCCCTTCGTCATGAAGACTCAGATCTAGATGGCGTTTGACTTTATCGGTTACGGTTTTCATTTACGTGTTTTTCTTTCTATACTCTCTTTGATTTCATTGCTGAAATATATCTGGGATTCTATCAGCACGGTGCCCTACATGCAAACATACAGCAAAGCTAGAAGTCCGTTATCCGATAAACAAATAAACACATGTCAAATGTGTTGTTTTCCTACTTTGTCATATATACGGTTTTCTTTCCCACAACGAGACTGCTTGTTTTCCTGATAAATAGTTTATTTGGAGACGTTCATCCAAACCCAGGACCTGTGTCACCAAGGTCAAGATCTATCCCTTTGATATTCTCAACAGACACAATATATTGATCTATGTACCTGCCATTCATGCATTACAATGCACAAAATATAAAACACAAACATAACAACATATATGCTGAATTCAAGGACTTTGATATTCTTTCGTTTTCTGAAACATGGCTTAAAAATTCTATTGATTCGTCAACTCTCTCTCTCTCTCTCTCTCTCTCTCTCTCTCTCTCTCTCTCTCTCTCATAATTCCTTTCAAGATCCAGAAATAAGAGACATACTTGGTGACAGCCATGGTGGTGTAATCATATTATGTAAAACATAATATTCACTACAAACGTGGAATTGATTTAAAAATCCCTTGTGTCGTGTCTATCTCGATTAAGCTTGTTACAGCTACGATACACATACTTGTTGGAGTTTCTTGTTAAAGCGTACACACACAGTTGTATTGGGGAAGCGATACATCTTGCTGTGGATACAGGCATTCAGAATATCACCATAACCGGTGATTTTAATGTAAACATGAAGAATCTAATATTAGCAACAAAACTAAAAAACATGTGTCAACAATTCTCTCTTTCTCAATGCATAAAAGACCAAACTCCCTTTACAGAATATTCATCTTCTCTCATTGATCTCACACTGAAATCTATTCCTTCTCTAATTATTTACTCAGGAGTCAGTGACTCTTGTTTTGATCACATAAATCATTGCCCTGTATATGTTTTTTACTCTTAAGAAACCTAAGATGGCGTCTTTTAAACGACATACAGTTTACTCCACTTATAGCGAACTCAATGGGACATTAAAATATCGTTCGTTATATCCGAAGTTCGCTTAAAGCGAAAAAACAACGACATTCCATGATTTGCGTTGGCGGGCACATTTGCCATGAAAAAGCCATACTTATCACCGGTTATCGATGATATCGCTTTATTACGGCAGCGGTAATTTGATGCGGGACATTTTATAAAAAAATATATTATGTACATGTATTTGGTTTATTGTAGACAAAAGTTTCACATTTTATATGCATAATTTATACATGTATTTAATTCAAACAAAATGTTGAACTACATGAACACATCTATATATGCACAGTTTATAAAGCACCGATTTATATTACAATTAAGATCCATGATAAAAGTTGCATGTGAAAGAATTCAATTATTTTGGATTGTTTTATATTCCCATTTAAAGCTTCATAGCCAAATTCCTGAAGTCCTGAGCAACACTTGTACAGTTTTTCATCGGGCTCGCGATCTCCCAAAAATAATCGGACAGTATCAATGGCACTAAAAATCACAGACAGGTGAATTTCTTGTATGTCGTTGTCAAATTTCTGCGTTATGCTAAGATCTACTGCAGCAGATTCACCACAAACATATTTGCTGATACAATCGTGTCCATTCTTAAATTGTTCAATAAACCCAGACGAACCAGTTAAATCATCATATCCCAGCATTTTGGCAAGCAAGTTCGTTGGCTTTTAACATAAAAGTTTCACCAATTAGTGGAATATTTGAACTTCGCGCTCCTCGAAACCATTTTAACAACGCATCATCTATTTCTTCGTGCCTACCAAATCGCATTTTTTTGCGAGCAGGAGATAGACAGTCCAACTCATATGCCGACTTGATAGAGTCACGGTTTTTGAGAATTGTGCTGAGCGTGATTTTCTTTAATCCATATTTTACTTCAATTTTGGTTTTGATTACTTTCCATCATCTGTTTCATTAATAATTCCAATTTTTGTATCTAAAGAAATCGCCTATCGTTTAACATCAGCTTTTGATGGCGTTGCCATTTTTTATGTTACAAACTTATTTAAAACATGCAAATCAATTGATTTGCAATATTTTGTGAGAACATTTTACCAAAATAATTATTCCCTGAAGTCATACCTGTACATTCACTCCACACAGACGTTCACCTCATGAATTGTACAAAAGTCATATTCTACTTTTATAAAGTTAACAAAATGATGTTACATGTTTAATATCTATGCTCTGTACGTTGTAGGTTGGAGGAAAAGGCTATTAAAATTGCACGCCTCCAGATGAGCCAAAATATTTCAAGAAAATCAAATATTGAGAAAAATATACTAATATTTAAAATTAGGTAGAAACATTCAAGATCCAAGTTATATTTGTTCATGTTATATGCGGATTAAGACTGATTTAGCAGTATTTTATAACCATCTTTCTACTACGTTACTAACGCAATAAGGGCTATTTTGCATATGCTGACGACTTTTTGATAATATTCTTGGATTGTAAGTGCCGATTGCAATATGTAAATTACTTTATTTGTTCACCTCACAATATTTTACGTTTAAATACATTTCCAAAATTTTCATGAAAATTAAACATGGATCTGGAGGCATGTTGCTAAAAGATATGTATACTATATGTATAAAGTGGTAACATACGGACGGAAGGAGGACAAGTTGCATAATATCATACAGTAAATTCAGTCATATCTTCAAATTCAAAATATTTGATTTTTTGACATGAACTATATTCAAATTACATTTATATACTTAACTATAGACAAAAGTACTATGTTTACATCTCTATTTATACTGCGTTATTTAACAATGTGCCTCAAAAAACTCATTAGTTGCTGGGACGTAGAAACTATTGTATCAATTAAACAACTGAAAAAAAATCATTATATCTGGTAGATTATTGAAAGTCCTATTTATTTGCCTGAATATCCCTTTAAGTTGTGGTACAATATTACTTGTACGGTTCCTTAAAATGTTGACCAGAAAACAAAAAGCATATTTGTTGTTTTTAGTCAAAATCTATATCCCGTAATATGCTGAAGGTAGATTATCACCTCTCTGTTTTTGTTTTTTTTTTGTTTTTTTTTTTGTTTTCTTTCTTCAAAATTAACCTTTTACGGATATGATTAATGTCTTCATGTCTTAATGATATACACTTATTTAACATAATGATACATACATAGCGCATGCACTAACTTAACATGATGTTTATTTTTATATTATATGTATCACTTTAATTAGTATTCATGTGAATGAAGCATAGTTCTTTGGCTATATTAAAATATAACTCACTCACTATCACAGTAATAAATGAGATAAAACAATTTCCGGACAAGTGTAATGAAAGGGTCTCCTCTTCAATTTATAACAATTTGAATTCGGGCGTATATTTAATGTTTTATTTTGCAGTTTACTGCAAATGTGCTTGAAGATTAAATGCATTATATTTAGTGTCTTGTAAATCATAAATTTACATGTCACATTTGTATTTTGTATACGTACACGTATTGTAAATGTGAATACCATACGTATAAAGATATATTATATTTCCAGAACCCCACTCAGGTGTAACAGTTTCCCCTCTTAGCATTACTGTTCTTGAGGGTAACAATGCTACAGCACGATGTATATATGACGGAGATAACAGCTTACAGGGAGTGTCGTTTCATCTCAATCAGTCGACTATTGCAATTATATTTTTATCTAATTGTACATTCAATACTCTAGGATTTGACAATTACATAACTGATTGTGAAGGAAATAAAACTGTAGTAATAACTTTAGTTAATGTGTCAAGGAATGAACATGGTAAAACACTAACCTGTACAGTTTTTGTTTACAATTCATCCCCGATACGGTCATCGAATTTAACTTTACTGACTGTAAACGGTAATTATAGAATAGTTAACTTTTATTTTTTGTTGATATAGAAAACTTGCAATTTAAACTTTTGAGTAAAATACCCTATATTTGAGCGTTAAGTATCAGAACAAACAGGATTTCTAACTTGTATGAAAATCACTTTATATAAGTAATCAAATCTAACATCGTAACATCTAACATCAACTTTTGCAGTAAATTCCCAACACATAAACAAACTGCAATTTCACTCATGTGACTGACTTTCGAACGAATACGATTTGCGATAAGACGCAATACATTAATTCTATATTGTATAGCATATCCGAATTATTATTATGTCCCTCGCGCTGTGAGCAAAAACATGAACTTACATAAAAGGGACTCCACAGATGTTTTTTGACATGACGAAACTGTAAATAATTTTTCGAGATTAATGCTCAGTTTGATGTAGGTCTAGATCAGTAACTTGAGTGCAAAGTATAAGATTATTCGCTCTTGTCGTTTATCCAGGATAATTATTCAAATTGTGAAAAATGACCTAAAATTGAAAAGCGTTTAAACTCATGTTCACTCAAATCGTATCAAAATAGCACAAAAATACGATTGTCCAATCATTTTTAGTACATTTCGGAACGTCGTAGTTCTACTCAGGTACCCGTTCGTGCCGGAAATATTGCACCGAAGGGCACATGAGGTCTTCCTCCTCCAGTAAAGCTGGAATGTCGCCATATGACCTATCATGTGTCGGCGTAACGTTAAACCCAATTAAACAAACAAAGCAACCTAAGTTACGACAATGTCGACACTGCAGCGAGAAAATTTCCAGATAAATTTAAATTAATGAGCTAAGGTCACTGTTGAAACACAGTATATCCCTGTTCCAAGCGTTCATTTGCGATAGGTAATGAGTCATTTTGACAGGCTTTTACATTGAAAATATCGATAACGTATTAAAAAATTCGCGGGGTTCAACGAAGACCTTTGACTTTGATATTATGGCAAATTATAAATGTAAAATTCAATCGAGTAAATTCATGTTTATCTTCCATTCACTAACTAATGCTGTTGTTCCTTGAAAGTTTGATATAACTAATGTTTTTTCTGTTTAAAATAGTTCCCTTTGTATATATTTGAAACACAGTATCATTTAAGAACAGTTAATTGCAAAGTATATAGATATATAAACATATATGTGCTGTATTAAGTGAAATACTGATGTAAGGTTCATTATGCCCAAGAATTTTTTTGATCTTTAGAAAGGACAAACATGAGTTTTAAAAAGTCAAAATAATTGTTTCAGAAAAATGTTTGATACTTATCATCTGAAGAAAATAGGGCTTAAGAGAAATTATGTGTCGTAAAAGTAGCAAAATATAAACTTAGAAGTATTTTGACCTCAACACAAAAAACTTAATCACTATATCTCTACTAATTGACTAAGGCAAAATAATGAAAGGATGTTTATAATAAGTTTTTTGCAAATGAGAATGATTTGGAAAACAGCACACCAAAAATAAAAAAAAAGTTTTTGACATCATTTCAAATATTTGCCATCACATATTTGCAGCTAAAAGACTATTTATATTTTGTTTAAGGTTCATTTTGCTAAAACATTATCTTTTTCTAAGGGAATATGAAAAAGCATTGTTTGATTTTTAAAGCACGTTTACTTATATAGAAAATGTAATGTTACATTTATTGTAATTACGATTCAATTGATTAGCTTTCCTTTTAACAATAAGATTAATTTACTTGATAATATAATATAATATAGTATAACCATTTATAAAAAGAACATCATCATGTAGCAAATAGTATAACCATTTATAAAAACTACATCACCATACATCAAAATAGTATAACCATTTATAAAACTACATCACCATACATCAAAATAGTATAACCATTTATAAAACTACATCACCATACATCAAAATAGTAGAACCATTTATAAAAAGAACATCACCATATATCAAATTAGTATAACCACTTATAAAAACAAAATCACCATACATCAAAATAGTTTAACCATCTATAAAAACAACATCACCATATAGCAAAATTACAGCACCATTTATAAAAACAACAGCACCATATACAAAATGACACCACATTGTACCAAAGTGACACCACCATATATCAAAACGAGCTCACCATTTATCATTACTGAAGCACCATGTATCAAAACAACAGCACCATATATGTAATTACATCACCAATAATGAAAATGACAAAACTAGCTAACAAAACCACAGCACCATCTGTCAAAACGACATCACCATTTATCAAAACCACAGCACCATTTATTAAATCCACAGCACCATTTATTTAAACTACAGCACCATCTGTCAAAACGATATCACTATTTATCAAAACCACAGCACCATTTACTTAAACTATAGGACTATCTATCACAACTACATCACCCTTTATTAAAACCACATAACCATTTATCAGAACCACAGCACTTTCTGTCAAAAGGACATGACCGCTTTAGAAGTGTTTATATTAGGCAGCTATGACGTTCCATAAAAGTGCATACTAACAATTATCATATTAATTATACCGTGCGATTTTCTATGTATAATTTCTCGCTCATGACTTTCTTTCTTTCATATATACTCATTCTTGGGCGGGAATGGTCTTATAAAATAATAAATGTGTTTGCCATAAGATATTTGTAATAAGAAAATTAATAGTGACTGAGTCAGCCAACTGTGGTAAAAGAAGCTATAAATAGCTCGCCGCTATGGTAACAAAAGTGATGACGTCACAATAAAGTTAAAAATAACTTTAATATATAAGGTCAATTAGCACGAAGAAAAAGCAACGGCCGCTGTGGTGTAGTGGTTAGCATACTGGACCGGCGATCCAGAGACCCGTGGTTCGAGTCCGGGCTGCGGCGTGCCGATTTTTCGTGCGATTTATATATATATATCGTGCATGTCTATATATTTAAACTGTATCAGACATAAATGCTCATTTAGTTTTTAGTCAAGTATTTAGCATATCGAAGGCAAATCATGTCATTGCTAAGATGTCTGATATAGCTGATATATCTGCTTGATATCAACTATTTGTTTTGCCTTTTTTTATTTCAGTGTCAAAAACAATTATAATTTTCAGTTTCAGTGAAGAGCGTCACTTTACGAAAGCCTAGCCTGGAGATTATGCAGGAAAATCAGATTCAATTGATCACGTGCAACTCTTCGGGAGGCCGACCAATTCCAAGAGTTAAATGGCTAATACGCAATCCAACAGAAACTATAAAAATTAACTTGACACAATTTTCAAGCAATACAATTATACCCAGTGATAATGGACTTAAAGCTGTTGCGAGTTCTTTGAACTTCAAACCAAATAGAACGATAAATGGATGGCGTTTGTATTGTGAAGTTTGGACTAGAACTTCGGAGGCTGACATAACGAGCAAAGAGCTAGTTGTTAATGTGTCGTGTAAGCTTGCTATCGTTGCTATTTTCTTTACAAGATACAAGATATGGTCATTGATATGATCCAAGATATGTTTTTTTGAATGTCGGACACTTTTATTGGATATAACAATTTTTGATAAGATTTAACAGTTCTTTAACAGATTTTGTTTGCTTTAAGAAGGTGCATAGATTTCTTTTTATACTGGTCTATTTTTTCCTAAATAATTGTAAAATATTGTAACACTTTTTCGTTAGCAATCGTTTATCATAACCTTTTACTTTCAATAAGTATTAGATACGTATAAATGTTCTTTTACATTGTAAATCTAATAATCTGTTTAATGTTTTACTATACATATCTCCTTTTCTCTTGTATAATAGTGGAATAAGGTTACATAAACTAGAACACAATATATTTATTAGTACAGTAATTGTTTCATAATGAATTATTTAAAATTCAATGTGTAATCATACGTGAAATATTTAAAAGGACTTTCATCATGATTTTATAATTAGGTATAAGGTATCAAACAAAGTATTAATCGCCACTGAGTTTTCCTCTTACATTAATTCATGTATAACTTTAACATACAATAAGTTTATTTAATATTTGATACACTTTTTATTTCAGATCCCCCTGCAAATCTTCCAGTAATGCAAGGAATTAATACCAACAGCATTGTGTCTGTAATTGAATTAGATTCGGGTACATTTAACTGTTCCATAACCGGTGGAAATCCACCTGCGTTTTTGAGATGGGACTGTTTTGGCAGTACTAACGTTACATATGACATCCATGAAAACAGTCGTGTAACAAGTACAGTAAATTGGAAGGCTAATCGTAATCAGAATACATGTTCGTGCACATCGGAACACATTAACAGCTGGAAAAGAATTATTAACGCTACATTCAACGTGCAGTGTATTTCTTTTTAAAATTATCATAAGCAGTTACTTAAATGAAATAACACAAGTCATGTGCTTTCATATTTTGCATTTCATTTATTGTTTAATAAGTAATGTGTACAAAATGTGTTCAAATGCCAGATTTGTGCCGGGTTCAAATACAGAAGAAAACACTTAAATTTCAGATATGGAAGAAAATAACGACAATCAAGTAACATATGAGAAACTAGCCGATGATCGAACAGACTTAAACCAGTACAGTCAGCTTCATTCCATGAAAGAGAAACAAGATGGTAATGAAACCGACGAGAATGTATCTAGTGGCAAGGACGAACAACATGCCGAACTGTCGAAAATTTATCTCAATATAAAAATATAAATTCTTTACTCTTTAAAAGGGAAGACTACTAGTATATTGTTTGCATGCACTGTATAACATTTTGTACATGAGGTGGAATAATTACACACACTAAAGAAATTTAGACTACTAGTTAGTAATACTTCTTGTTGAAAAATGAATGTTTACACACATACAGATATTCAATACTGTTTAATTATATTCTTATACATATTTCTGTATTTTATATGCAATCTAATAAACTGATGATGAAAATTACTTGCATTGATATGTTATTTTGAATTTTAAGATGCACGAACATTTCCACATTATTAGAATCAACTAATGCTATTTTTCAGTGTGTAATTTTGTAAGTAATGCTGTATAAATAGAGCCGTTAATCTATACACACATTCATCTTTGCGAATGTGTACATTTATATCAAAGAATCTTGATAAATGTTGAAATATTCTGGTCAACTATATAAAACATTTGCGGTATTTAGATTTAACCTATAGCTCCTCAGCGCTTCTTATGTAAAATTCTTCCAAATATAATTTCCAATAACCGTAAATTATACCATACCGATACTATGGTATAATTTTCAGTTTTGAAGTTCGAAGGAGAAAGTGTTTCTGGGCGGAGCTATAGGTTAAAACAGATACACCATTGGTGCGTTGACGATTTCTGGCCTTGCGTAAATTATACCATAATCACGTGACCTTTCTTATGCCTTAACCTCAACGCAGCAATGGTATATCTATTACATAACAAGACAAATTTGAAAATATCAAAAATTCTTTACAAACAAAACATGTTTTCAAATTGAAATAGTTTCAAGATGACAAGTTTAACAAAAACATGGGTTCTCCATTTTTGAGCAAATTTAAACATTACCGATAGCATATGTGTTCCTCTAGTGCATGCTTTCATGCACTGTAAATATGTAATTTACCTTATGGCTGCATAAGATCTAGTTGAGTACTTATATGTTTAAAAATTGTGGGAATATACACAGTTTGTACATTCAAGGATTTTGAAGTAGATGCAACTTCAACGGTCTAGCAAAAACGCAAAACAAAACTATAATAATTGGTTTTTGTTACAAATCTTGCGTGAACTAACAGAAATAACTTCTTTATCAGATATGAAGATTATCAAACAGGAAGACATATCTTTAACATACTTTTTATGATTTGTATGAGTTTGTATATAAATTACATAATCCTTTCTCATTTAAATGCTGAGGATTTACTATGATGTGTGCTTCTTCAAATGTTAATTTCGTTTAATTGAGACAAAACTCATGTTTATTTCGTTTTATTTATGGACTTTGAATTGATTAAGGTTCGAAAGCTTTCGAGCTAGCTTACAGAAGACCGGTGGTTGTACTAAAATAAAAATTTGTTCCTCGAATTAAGGTAAAGTTGGCTTACAAATTGACAAACAAGTACAATAAATAACTCATACAAGAAGTCTTTGAAACCATGATGCAATATTAAAGAAATTGGTAGATAACTTTCATCACGTCCAAGTACATTTCAGAAAATTCATTTTGATCTCCATGTTATTTTTTCTTCTCCTTACATTTCTACACTTGAACATTATAAAAGGTTGACGATTAAAGCGAGAACAAGATTCTAATATGATAACTTTATTATGTACTAGGATTAAAAGAGTGATATCCCTTTTACGTTCATATGGACGTATAACTAAGTTATATAGAATAAATAAGAAGCCTTGCTTTTGATTATATACTAGATAAACTTTAAACTGAAGGCATATGATATTATATCGTATGCCGACATGTATAAGTAGCTTAAATTAAATTTATGATAATCAAATCTATGCACTATTTTACATAATGCGTAATCAAAAGTGAGTACTTCTACAGGATAAACTCGTCCGGAACGACAAAAAAAAAATAAATAAAAAAAATAAATAAATAAACAACAAATCAATTGATGTGTGGTTGCACTAGAGCCATGAAATCCGATTTTTAGATACACAAAAATTTTGGCAATTTTACTAAATATTTAATACGCAATACCACTATTTATAACAATTAACATAATAAATTATATAAGGGTTTGTATTACCGTAGTAACGTTTACTATTTGGAACCATTGTGACAATTTGTACTAGGCTGAAACTGTTCACTTGAATCTAAGGCTTAAACTACAATCCCGTCAAGATAAGAATAAGATTTTAACTGCAACATGGCAGCGATTAAAATGAAAATAAAATTATTATGAAAATTTATCTTGTTATGCAGATAATTATCTGATACTTAATCTAACAAGCTCATATGTTTATAGTTTATATTTAATTAGTAAGGTTTGGCAGTTCTAGGAACCTTTTAAGTATTTTTTGGAAGTTAGATACTTATTCATTATTTATCTGTATAACGAAACATGTCTATCCAATTAGTCTGACACATATGGAACAGAATTAATGCATTTATTCTATCTAACTTGACGACATTGGAACTTGCATTATACTTAATTTCATCTTGCTTGATGACATTGGAACTTGCATTATGCTTGATTCCATCATGCTTGATGACATTGGAACTTGCATTATGCTTAATTCTATCCTGTTACATGACATTAGAACTTGCATTATGCTTGATTACATCTTGCTTTATGATATTTAAACTTTGCTTTATGCTGGACTCCATTTTTCATTATTTCATTCAAACATATCGTAGTGACCAATTCTTTCATTGAGTGATAACTATTTAACTGGAACAAGCCATTTGGAATACTAAACTGTTAACGTCATATACCTTTATGTATAAGCTACCTTTCTTCATGCTCTATAAAAACCATTTACGGTTTAGTTTTTTTGCATTACTTTTATGTAGAAGTCATTTAAAATTGACAGTTTTTGTTTCCTGATAGATTTTGTTAAACTGTGACTTATTTGATTTATAGCTCGCATGGCGTGATAACTATTAGCTTTCGCTTCTATCCATTATTGTTTAATAAAGCTCGGTGTCTGAGGCTTTGTTGATTATGTTTGATCATCTTACATTATGATTTAAACTATGTCTAGCGATTTGTGAACTGTTAAGGGGCGAGAACTCTGTTATCGATATCAACGGAATTTTTCCACGATTCGCCTATCATCGGAATTTTCCGTATAGATACTGCGTACGTGTATATATAAATACGTACTTAGTTGAAAGAATATAAATACAAGTAGTAAAGGATAATGCAATATAATTTCATATATGTATACAGTCTAATAGAAAACAATATGCTCGTAAACAGTTATTCAATGGGGCAGTTACACGTACAGTGGCGGATTTAGGCCCTGGCTTAAGGGCTGCACCTACCCCAAAATATACGTTCATGAGCTTGGATGGAATATATACATGTCAGTTTCATGCAAAAGTCTTCTTAGTGTACTCCTTTACCAAAACATATTATGCTGTCATCCAGTTGTTAAGCACCTGCCTAGGTACTGCGGAAGTCTTTATCTAATGTCTTGGACAAAAAAAAGCAAAAATTATTGGCCTTTTTACTTAATAAATGTCTCAGAGTCACTAATAGTGGCGAATAGGTATGTAACACATTAAAGACATTTTCTACAGTTTTATGAAAAATTAATCCTTTCATAGAATTTTCTAAATTTTTTGTATGATGAGTAAAATTTAATGACGAATTTAAAAATAAAAAGAAAAATATATGTTGACGTGTTGGATTTCTTGTAAAATGACAGTTTCCATGGTAACCGTATATCTAAAAACTGTCAAAATAGCCTAACTGTGTTGTAACGAATAGAAAATGTATAAGATAGCTTAAAAACACAACGAGCATTGTTTTATGCAAAGATAATCTTATCTAATGATTCTGTATGAAACAAATGATAATCTGAACATATTTCTTTAAAAAATGAGTTTTCCATGTTCCTCAACCGAACAAGAAATGAGAAAAATAAACATGAATTCTGAGAAAAATTAGAGATATTGAAAAATGTGTTTCATAGGATTTTCTATTTTTTTTTATATGTTGTGTAAAATTTAATGACAAATTCAAAAAAAAAAAAAAAAAATATATGTTGGCGTGTTGGATTTTTTGAAAAAATGGCAGTTTCCATGGTAACCGTATATCTCAAAATTGTCAAAATAGCCAAACTGTGTAATAATAATGTATAAAATAGCTTATTACACTCACACTAAACATAATTTTATACAAAGCTTGCTTTATCTTAGGGTTCTGTATAAATCAAACGATAATATTGGAACATATTTCTTTAAAAAATAGGTTTTCATGCTTTTTAACTAAACAAAAAATGAGAAAAATAAACATGAATTCTGTAAAAAATTAAAGCTATCAAGAAATTTCTTTCATAGAATTTTCTACATTATTGATATATCAAGTAGCATTTGATGGTGGATTCAAAAATAGAAATAAAATATATATGTTGACGTGTTAGTTTTTTTGTAAACGGGCTGTTTCCATGGTTACCGCATATGCCAACTGTCAAAATTACCACGCTTTCTTAAGAAATATCAGTGTTATACTAAATGTATTGTCAAATACATGTATACAACAAAACATGTTGTAATAAAAATTTCTTTTTCTTTTGATGTTATATTAAGTAAATGATACTGAATATCTTTTTAAAACATATCTAGGGCCATATTATTTTTTTCACTCGACTAACATACCCGAACAGTAAGCAAGTATTCAGAAATTTACAAAGAAAATAATGAAATTCGGAACATTTCTTAGATATTAATTTTGTTTTTTATTCAACACTTTTAAAATATATCATTTTAAACTTCTTTGCCAGATGTCTGACAGTAACCAAGTCGCGACGCACTTTCGTCACTATACCACAAGTGGGTGGGGTAACGCGCGCAGAATTATCATCAATGCTGTCGTACTAATGCTTGAAGAAATCCTTTATGTGATATTGTCTAAACGACCTCTTATTCTTTTGAAC